GGGGGGGGGGGGGGTGAATTTGATAAATTTAAGTTGTACATAAGTTGGAAACATTTCCTGAAAGTTTCAGTCTCCCACCTTCCCTGGTTCCAGAGTTATCCATTTTCCCGCCAAAAAGTTTCACGGGACCATACATGGCAACCACGCACAACGGGGAGCTGAATTTGACAAATTTAAGTTGTAGATGAGTTGGGGATATTTCCTGAAAGTTTCAGCCTTCCAGCTTTTTTGATTCCCGAGCTAGCGATTTTCGAGCCAGGAACCCTCACGGGGCCATACGCGGAAAACAAGTACGCCTGGGGGCTGAAATTAAAACCCTTGAGTTCTATATGGACAAGGAACACAATCCCAAAATTTCAGCTTTCTAGCTTTTCTGGTTCCTAAGTTAACGATTTTCCCGCCAAAACTTTGAGGCGCTCGTACGCGTGGCCTAGATGTGTTTGAGGGTTGGTACCGCGTTCCTGAGGTGGTACTTGGCCTGGGAACTCACTCGCAAAATTTTGGCGCCAGAGCTTGCTTGGGCGCCGAGTTGAAACAACCGGACAGACGCAAACATACACACACATACACACACACACTCACACACCGGGGTCGTCACAACACGTGTTTTTGCATATATGCAAAAACACATAATAATGCGATGCACATTTGTTCGGCCTGTAATCCGATGTCGATATTCATCTTGAAATGTCGCCGCTGCTGAAGGGTGTAACAGCAATTCCGCTTCTGTACTTCCCTAAGCTTGCAGCTCGCCGTACCTCGATATTACTTAGCGGGGTATCTGGGTGGAATTTTTGTAGGGGAAATTGCTCATATAATTTATACTTTTTGCTTATTAAATCACTGATACTGAATGTGTCACCATTTTAACTGGCATAATTGCTGTTTCTAATTGAAGGCCTATCAAATGGGGTTGCTTGAAGAACGAACTTCTTCTGGGCATATCACGCGTCAGCTAATCAACGAGGTCTGGCTGGATCTTGAGGATGATATGAATCGTAACTTCGAGAACGAACTACCGCCATCCAGTAAACTACGGGAAAAGAACGATGCCAATATCCCTATTAATAACACTGTCCTTTCTTAACTCAAGAACAACCTGATGCGCATCCGTCAAAAAACAAATTTACCTAATTTTCAAATGTACATCGAAGTTCTCTTTTCTATTACATCCCGTTACATCAGCCTTC